ACACCACCTGATTTCCAGTGCCCACTTAATCAAGTTATGTTGAAGGCCTTCGACATAAGCAACTCGATTTACTGTGAATTGCCCATTCGTGAATTTTCCATAGCCTTTCACTTGACACTTATGATTGTTGCCGAATTTGACTACTCCAACATTTTCCAAGCTTCTATAATCTCGCAAGTTCTCCTTTCTTCTAGTCATGTGATGAGAGCAACCACTGTCAATTTACCATTTCGAATCGTATTGCTCATCACATATCACCTGCATTTAATAATAATTTTTAAACCCAAGTCTTTTTGGGTCCATCATTAGTAGCATTAAATAGATTCTTCGAATTTAAAACCCATGTTTTTACTTTTTCCTTTACACTCTGAATTAAATCAACATCATCAGATCTAGATATTGAAATAAAGTTGTTCGATAGTTTTTGGGTTTTCCTTGATTTTCACCTCAGACTTCGCAACTTGCTTAACTTTCACAACTGGTTTCCATGTTTCGACTGGAACATTCGAACCATGAGAAGACGAACTATCAACAAAAGATTCATTCACATATTTTTCTAATGCAGACTTGATTTGTTGTTGTGAAAATTTTCCAGTTTGAAATTGTTATCCTTGCCCTTCCAGCCAAATTTTGATCGAATTTACATCAGTTTTTCCTTTTGTGTAAGAGACTTTGGTCGGTTTTGTGATCGAAGGATTTGGAAAATTTGGTTGTTTAGGTGAAAATTTTGTTTTTGTTTGGATTTTGACATTCAAAATTGGTGAATTATTCGTTGATATTATAACATTTTGAAACTTACGATCATTCACAAAGTTATGCGAAGTCTCATATTTTCTAATGTTATCATATTTTTGAATAGATCCAACCTTTTTATTTATCGGATATTTGTCAACAATTTTCATTGGTTTGTGAAAACATGTGTCCTTTTGTGTTTGTTTTAACAAATAGTTTTGAGATTTGTTTGTTTTCTAAAATTTTGGTGTTCTTGATTTTGAATCCTGTGTTTTAACAACATTAGGCTTTTCGTTGGACACTACTTGCCAAAAAATGGCCTTTCGTGCCTTTCGTTTCGAAACATTGTTTTCACATGAAAATTTTCCAACCATCATTTTAAATTCGTGAGAATTCAATTTCACTTCCGATTTTCTCTTAACATCTTTTTCAAACACTTTCTTTTATTTTTCATGTTTAATCAACCATTTTTGTGGTGGTTTTTGACTTTGAAAAACATAAGAATTTTGGGTTAGATTGTTTTCTACCGTGTTCTGATTTGCAAAGAAACCTTTGGAAGTTGATCGTTTGTTATCATTTTCAACCATTTTGTTGAATTCAGGCTTGATTTTCTCAACATTTCTAGCAGTGATGAAGACTTGGTTTGGAAAAACCGTTTTATCATTGCATGTGAAATTCGGATAGACAACCATGTAGGTTTCCAAGCAGTGTGCACCTTTGTCATTATGAACTTTGTTGAATTCCTTTGTGTCACCATACACTTGTTTAACAACAACGCATGTAAGTGATGTTTCAGTGGAAACATTCTTCTCTTTCTTACATTCACACAAGATTTTTGCTTTCTCATCATCATCATCAGTGTCATCTGTTTGGCTACTTCGTACTTCCACATCGTCAAAGTCAAAAAGTTTCGAAGTTGAGGGTTTGTTAGTGTCAACCTTCACTATCGAATCAAAAAAAATTTCTTTACCTTTGACCTTAGACGTTATATTAATTATAAACAGTTGAGAACAATCAATCTCTTCTTCCTCTTCTATTTCACTAATTTCAATCATATTATCTGAATTGTCATCTAGATCAACATATTTGAGTTGAGAATCAAGAGTTGAATTCTCAATTTTCTGTAAAATCTTAATTTGTTAATTCTTTGTTAAACTGTCATTTACAATATCTACCAATTCATCAGCATTCAGAAATTCATCAATTTTGACAATACCATATGTAAATCTATCGTTGGGTATTTTGTCAAACTGAGCAATAGTATCTTCACAATCATACGATATAACATCAACTTTTTCACGTTCATAAACAAGAAAAGGTAGTAATTTTCTATGTTGTTCTTTGCTTATTTCAGATGAATGATGAAAAGCAGTTAACTTCACATATAGTCTCTTAGCAAAATTACAGTAGATGTGTCGTTGAGCTAATAACAATCTAACATCTCTATCTAGACTATCCCTATCACGATTGACATTTTTCATCTGTAGTTCAAGATAATCTACCCTGCGTCGTTTTATGTCTAACTGTCTTCGTGTCTCAGCTAGTTGTGTTTTTAAATTTTGAGCCTGTGTTTTTTAAGTTTGAGCCTCAGTACTAGCAGACACAATAACAACATCAAAATAAGCAATAGTATCATCGAAACCAGTTATTTCAGCATCATAAGCACTTAGAGGAATATTAAAAGATTCAAGAATAACACGTACCTTGGTGGTCATAGGAGACTTATCAGTGGATTTGGACACGAAGCAATGTCCAAAGATTTCTTCTTCTTCTGTACTATTCTCCTCAAAACTAGCGAACATCGCACCGTGTGTAGGGTGCCTCATTTCTTCATCATCTGATCCCGAAGACCAGATTTAGTAGGTTCCACTTTCATCTTCGTCTATCTCTCCCTTAGCAACCAAAGATAGCCCTTTTGCCTTTGCACGAACTTCCTCAAGCTTTTCAGCATAGTAAGCTTCGTCTTTGACTTTGGATTTCTTTTCATCCTTCTTCCTCAACATGCAGTCAGCTGCAAAGTCGTTAGCTCCATTACAGTAATGGCAATTGAATCCTGAATCACCTTTCAGCTTTTTCTCTGCCTTCGATTCCTTCACATTTTCATCCACCTTCTCATAGTTTTCATACTTCTTCTTATCCTCACCTCCAGCCTTTACTCCAGCTTTCACAAAACCACTATTCGCATCTCCTTGCATACCCTTTGGTTTGAGTGGCTTCTTAAAAAATTTCTTTACTCTATTGTTTGAATAAAATTCAACCGCCTCATCATCAGAATTCATCAGGAACCCCTCATCATCCGAGCTTTCCTTTTCAACAAACTCAACTTCATTCATTTTCGACACCAACGCCAGTGGTCCACCCAAACTTTGTTTTGACTCTTCTAACATTTCAGCTACTTCGTTTTCGTGTGTCTTCAGGTGATTGTATAGATCATTCAGACTCGAAGTATCAAAGCTCTATTGATTCTTTATCATCATGCTCACACCTTGCCATTCTTTGCGAATCCCCATAATGAATATAAGGTTGAATTCCATAAGAGACCTTGTGATTCCATATCTACTACATTGATAAATGAGTTCATTCAGGCGATCATAGTAGTTTTCAATCGTCTCAGCATCCTTTGGTCTGAACTCCTTAAGATCAACAAGACATTGTTTAACATAATTGATCTTCGTCTTTTTACTACCCCGGTATTTCTCCTTGAATGTGTTCCAACTGTCTTTAGTTGTTTTACAACCAAAAATGTAGTTGTAAACCACAGGTGGCAATGCACCTCTCAGCTCTCGCATACATCTTTTCTTATTCTTTTTCATATGATCAAGTTGATTATTGACTACATTTGAAGTTCCAGAAGCTCCTATTGTTTGAACATTCGCAGGAGGCAGAATTGTTCCACTGATACAGTTCCAGAGCTCCTCATCAATCCCATTTAGATAATCTTCCATTCTGTCAGCTCATTGATCATAATATTCAAGAATCAACATCGGAATCTTAGTAGATGAACCAAGCAAATGAGAGTATGAGGTCATAGTATTCATGTTAAAGTTCGCCATTGTTGAACACGAGGATTTTGATGAAAAACTTGATGAACTTATGAATTAATCAAATGAATTGATCCCAAAGCTAATCGATTACTCGACTAAACAATTCAGATGCAGAATCGATTTTCAAATCTGAAGATCAAGAGAGATTTTCAGAACCAAAAGCACGGAAATTTTTGAAATGAACTCGTAACTCAAAATGCAAATGATTCTAGAATGAAAATCATATCAATGTAGTTCGAATCCTACTCTGATACCAATTGATGTGAATTGTAATCGATATTTAGAAAGCAATCATGATTTAGATGAATGAGTAATGAAAGATATGAACACCAAATGTAAATATTAATCAGTAAATTTGTATTGAACAGAGAATTCGAATACAATACTGATTACCAAATAAGCAGAAGGACTCGTGTCTCTACATCTATCCTCAGCCCCTATTTATAGGAAACATGAGTGTACAAAAAATACTAAGTCGGTCTAGACATTAGGCTTCGACATAAAATGACTTAGTAAATAGATACATGCGAAATAGAACAAACAATGCTTCGACTTTTACAACTAAATGACTCAGCAGTCTCACATGAACCTAACCCTATATATATATATATATATATATATATATATATATATATATATTATATATATATATATATATATATATATATATATATATATATATATATAAAGGGCCGACAATTTAAAACAAAACTCGATAGTTTCTTGGCTAACAATAACATTATCCCTATACATAATGAGTTGGAACCTCGATACTTTGATACTTATTCTTTCATTCCTTGTTATTTTTGGAACTAATTACAAACTCAATTAATTATATGATTTTAAATATGTTATGATTTTTTTATTTGTATTGCAGATTTTATAAGAACTAACTTTTAGATATGTTTTGTTTCACTATTTGCTTCAATTCTAGGATCGAATGTTTTAATCTGAAATTGTTGTTGTTGTAATTTGTTTTGGAATTATAAGTTCTTGGGAAAAAGTGGATGCTCAAAGATGCTTTTAGGATATAAAAATGGATGGGACATGATATTCCAATTGAATTTATGCTGATCTACAAGTGTTTTGGACAAACATTGGTACAGGGAATGAGATATTTTATTGTACATCAGCTTTTGCATCAGATTCCTTATTTTTTATTTTTTAAGGCGGTTTATTTATAAAATGTACTATCTGAATTCTAAACCCAACACTTTTTACAAAATGGATCCCGACAATGCTTCTTCATCTTTTTCTTCACCATTCCGTAAAACCGTAGACGTGCAACCCTTCAAAGAATCCATCAATAATCCAATAGATGTGCAACATGTAGATAATCAAGGGAAATCTTTGTTGTTTGGGGGTGAGAAGTATGGCTATGGCCAAATTCAACCACCTTCTGCTGCTCGAGCTATGAACCCAACGAATATTTCTCTAATTTCCGGTGGCTATCAGAGATATAGATATGGAGAACCACCATCTGTTGAAGATGTGAGGCAAATCTTGCGTTCTCAAGCTTTAAACGGCGACCAGAGATATAGTTATCAACAACCATTGTCTGTTGCAGTTGTGAGGAAAATCTACGGTTCTCAACCTTTCAACAATAAGCAGATATATAGTTATGATTATGGAGAACCACCCTCTATTGGAGCTGTGAGGGAAATCTACGATTCTCAACGTTTCAACGACGACCATATATATAATGATGCAAAACCACCGGCTGTTGGAGCTGTGAGTCAAGTATTAGGTTCTCACCGTTTCAAGAGTGACCATAAATATAATTATGGAGAACCACCGTCCGTTGGAGTTGTGAGGCAAATCATAGGTTCTCAGCCTTTCAACAATAAGCAGATATATAGTTATGGTTATGGAGAACCACCCTCTGTTGGAGCTGTGAGGGAAATCTACGATTCTCAACCTTTCAACGACGACCATATATATAATGATGCAAAACCACCGGCTGTTGGAGCTGTGAGGCAAGTATTAGGTTCTCACCCTTTCAAGAGTGACCATAAATATAATTATGGAGAACCACCGTCCGTTGGAGGTGTGAGGCGAATCATAGGTTCTCAACCTTTCAACAATAAGCAGATATATAGTTATGGTTATGGAGAACCACCCTCTGTTGGAGCTGTGAGGGAAATCTACGATTCTCAACCTTTCAACGACGACCATATATATAATGATGCAAAACCACCGGCTGTTGGAGCTATGAGGCAAGTATTAGGTTCTCACGCTTTCAAAAGTGACCATAAATATAATTATGGAGAACCACCGTCCGTTGGAGGTGTGAGGCAAATCATAGGTTCTCAACCTTTCAACAATGACCGGATATATAATTATAGACAACAACAATGGTTTAACGACTTATTTACATAAGCCAAAACAAATCACAAATAAAAAAATTGGGCTATTCTTTATATTAAAAAGACCTCGCAAAGTCGTAAACATTTTAAAAAGATTATGTAGTCACCTCTCTCTCTCTCTCTCTATATATATATATATATATATACACACACACAGACACACACACACACACAAACATAGTATATAGGTCGTGCTAAGCACGGCCCACGGAGGGTCTAAAGGTGCAAAAATGGTAACATGAGTACCTCGTGGATGACAGTGCATTTCTATTAACTAGGAATGAATAAGTGTTTAACGGGTTGTGGATGATATTGTATAGATATTTAATGGATGATGCGAGAGTTTAATGGATTGTGGATGTCCTTATTGCTATCACTTTTGTTTGAGCGACACAACCAAACACTATGAAAAAAATATATTCATACTCTACTATGACTTATTTTACTATTTATTCATCAAAACATAAGTTCATGTATGTTGGCTACTCAAGAGAGCGAGAATTCAAAAGTATTTGACACACTATTATACAAATCATAGCTCAATTTGATGTATAATCTATCAAAAGTTATTTAATGAAAAATGAATTATATTATAGTATTAATAAATATCCAAGCTTAGGACTTTCTCACACTTTGGATATGGAAATCCATAATTTGCATGTAACTAATTACCAGATTGAGTCAAAAAAATATGAATGGTGACAACTTTAGTGGCAACCGTTCTCTCCGTTTCATCTTCCTAGCATTCCAATACTTGGCCAAATGTCCCTCAATCAAGAAAAAAAATCAGTAACTAATAAGGAAGATTACATAAACTATCTAATATTAGTTAATTTACAAAATATAATTATGTTCTCCCATCGTCTAATGAATCTTATCTTTAAACTATGGAAAACAAACAAAAAAGAGGAATAATAACACTTAGGACCGGAGTAGGTAGCTTAAAGATGGAGTGATGCTGGACCATTACGAAGGTATTGATTAGCGGTCAACAATTTTCATCATCACCGCCTTGTCGATTCTTGATAAAAAAAACGGTATTATTCTCTTCTCTTGTCTCAGTTTTGTTCACTTTTCTGGTTCAAATTCTTTATTTGCTGATGCTGTTTAGGGTTTTGATTTGTAACAGGAAAATTGGATGATGTTGTTCCTGGATTTGACACTCTGGAACCCTATCCAGTGAGTTCCTTGACATTAGGGTTTAACTAAATGTGTAGTTCGTATTAGGATAATTCAAATTTTTAGATAAAAGAAAGAAACCTTAGGATTTAGGAAGATTTGATGGCTATATTTACGGATATAACTGTAATACAAATTGGAATAATGTTGTTTTTATCAATTCGATCTTAAAGGTTGCTAATTTGAAACCATTATGTGTATAATAATCAGTTTTAAATTTGATTTCATATATACCCTAAATTTGTGGTTTATTTTTGATCTATGAGAATGGTTCTGCACCTACTTTGGTTGCATTGTCAAGAGAGTTGCAAACATGATTAAGGATGGGAAGTTCACATTTGATGGGACTAAATATTCTCTGCCAAATAAAAAGACAAAACTGAAAAAATGGTCCCTGTGGTATGCATTTTTTTGGGGTTTCAGTCCAAACCTCGACTTTTTTGGATTTATGGTCCTTTTGTCTTAGTTTGTACGTAAAATTGGTCCCTCAACTTAACTTCCTGTTAAGTTGTTGTTGTTAACTCCCTCATGTGCCTCCCACATGAGGGTATATTTGTCTTTTCATTTATAAGGGACCATTTTTTCACCTAAAAAAATATATCCCCTTTTTTTTTAAAAAAAAATTATACCTATTTATTTATTTTAATAATTAAAAAAATAAAAGAGCTCTCTCTCTCTCTCTCTCTCTCTCTCTCTCTCCCCCCCCCCCCCCCTTTCTTCTTCCCAAACACCATTGTTGAAGAAGCATCACCCAAAAATCCCCTGTCGAGCATCAAACAAACAAACACACCCTTGGATGGCTGTTTCCAGTGAGATCAAGAGGAGCTACAACCCTCTCAACGACTGAAATTGATGTTCAACACCTCCGCAACCCTCCTACAGTCTAAAAAGCACAACCCCAAACACCCCACCTCAATTGTTGTTACTGCAACTGCTTTGATTCCCTTCTGAATCGTTGCCATCAATGATGAGAAAGAAACCACGATGAGGCTTGCTGGGGAGCAGCCTCGCCACCTCTTTCGTTTGTTCATCGCATCTTTCCCCCTTCGCACCTTTCCTCATCGAAGTTGATGTCGCAACTTACCTGTTTCCCTCGGATCTTCCTTCCTACCTTCTCCTTCGAATATCAATGCTTAAGCAGCCCTTGCTGCTTTTGATCTTATTTTTCCTTCATCGGTCCGATTGAGCACCTGTGCCACTCCCTTTGATCGGTGACTGCAACTGCCTCCCTCCCATGTATGTTTTGATGCCAGATCGGGATAAGGAACAGTGAAGGAGGGCTCGCCGGAGATCGACACCACCCCTCCTTACTATCGCTAGCCACTGCCGAAGACTCCAATTGTCCTCCTCGCTCGTTTCTTTCCTTACTCGCTCTAAAGCCCACATTTATTACAAATCTGAAGACCAGGGTTGGAGATGGTGGTTGAAAGGTGGTGTATGGCGGTGGTTTGTGTGATATGCTTGAAAGATGAAGACATTAAAGATGATGAAAATGGACTTGAAGGAGAGAGAGAGAGAGAGAGAGAGAGAGAGAGAGACCTCTTGTATTTTTTAATGATTAAAATAATTAAATAGGTATTATTTTTTTTTTAGGAAAAGGGGATATATTGTTTCAGGTGCAAACATGGTCCCCTAGATATGAAAAGACAAATATACCCTCATGTAGGAGGCACATGAGGGAGTTAACAGAAACAACTTAGCGGAAGTCAAGTCGGGGGACTAATTCTGCATACAAACTAGGCCGAAAGGACAATGAATCCATAAAAGTCGAAGTTTGGACTGAAACCCGAAAAAATGCATACCACATGGACCATTTTTGCAATTTTGTCAAATAAAAATGGTTCAAACAATATACATGTAGTAATTTCTGAATTTTTATATCCATGTGTATGATTGTCTATTAGGGTCGAGTTATTAGATTTTAGATTTTACTAATTGGGTATTTGGAAGTGCTTCTCTAATTAGCTTATTGGCTTTTAAAAAAGCTAATAAGCTAAAAGAAATATTAATAATAATAATAATAATAATAATAATAATAGTAATAATAATAATAATAATAATAATAATAATAATAGTAATAGTAATAATATTCTTAACATACTTTTGTGTCTTGGATGGTTTCAGCCATATACTTTTATCTTTATGGCTCCAGTTTTATGATCATAAACTAATATTAACTAGAGGGTGTGTTGTGCTTCTCGGTGGATAATTTTTTTTCTTATTGGGACATTGTACCTTGAAATTATGCCAAATTATATTAGTAAAAAACACTTAGTAAATATAAGATATAGCAACATACTTTCAATACAACACCGTATATCTTATTGTTGACATTTTACTCTGAAAAATCAGATTTCAGTATTTTATTATTACAATATCAAAAATAGCAGTCTGGCAAAATGAAGGGACTGGAATTCAAGATTCCATTCCATGAAATCAATTAATTTAAAGGGAACTGTTCGGTAGGAAAATGGAATTCGAGATTCTATTTAATGACATCTTTGGTTACCCATATGGAAGGTATATGATTCCACTACTAGAAAAACAACCTTTTACGACGCGCAATGCGTGTCATAAAACACTCAGACGATGCTCAAATGTGTGTCAAGAAAGACCATGTCATAACGAGAGACGACACACTTTTGCCCGTCGTCTGTAGACGATGCGCATTTACAACGCGCAGTTACGACACCATTTACGACGCTCATTTTCGACACGCAATGTGTATAAAGGAAGACGACATGCATTTGCGTGTCGTAACCTTACGATGCACGTTTATGACACGCATTGTGTATCATTATAGCCCCTGTCATAAATGAAGATGACACACATTTGTGTGTCATAAATTTCAGCAACCATTTAGAATATGCATATACAACGTGTCTTTACGATACTATTTTATGCATAATACAAAAATATACTATATATATATATATATATATATATATATATATATATATATATACACACCAAAACAATCAATTTCATCCAATAACATTATGTCAAAAAATTCTAATACATTGATACTAAAGAGATCTGATGGTATATTGTAATTAAGAGGTTTTCACTAACTATATAACCTAATACTACATTGCTATTAAGGGGCACCACCTTGTTTCAGATATCATGTCCACATCATAAGCTTTATTTGAAACATCCAAAAAATACGACCCAAATATTTTGTTTTTAAGTAATAAAAAAAGTCATAACACTGAATGTCATATAATAAACCCATACGTGGGGTATCTCAAAAGTCATAATAAAAGTGTGATATCAAAAACTGCATCAAATCATATCTAAGTATCTAAACAAAACTCCCAGGAATAAAGATGAAGTTGTGGTGTGTGCGATGCCATCATCCCAAGCTCTTCCCTTTACTTACGGAAGTACCTGAAACCAAAACTAAAACTGTAAGCATAAAGCTTAGTGAGCTCCCCCAAACTACCACATACGATACAATAAGATATAAACACATATTCGGCCATGCCTACTGCATCGGACCGAAGTCCGGAAACTGCATCGGACCGAAGTCCAGAACTAACCAGGGCCTTTCCCTCTATATCGGACAGAAGTCCAGAAACTGCGTCGGACCGAAGTCCGTAACCGAACGGGACCTTGTCTCCTGCATCGGACCGAATTCCGGAACTAACTGCATCGGACCGAAGTCCGGAGACTGACTGAGCATAACATAGCATGGCATAAACATATCAACTTGCACGAACACATAAACTGCATACTGCATCGGGCAGTAGCCCGAAACACATAACACATAAATCCTGTCTGAGCCACGAAGGCATCAAACATCCTAAAAACTGCATCGGACCGAAGTCTGGAAATTACTACTAGCTAAACGGGCCGGCATTGTGGCCATAGACCCGTTCCTACTGGAAGGAAGTAAACTGGCTGGTAAATGAACTGCTTTGGAAACTATCTGTTGTTGCTCCGGTATCTCCCTGGCTACAATTTCCATAACACACTGAATCAAATACTGATAATTATACTAATGGTAAAATGACTATTTTACCCATGGTCAAAGTCAATCGTATTAGTCAAAGTCAACATCTAGTTGACCTGACTCGTCGAGTTGGGTCACCAACTCGTCGAGTCCTCACCCTCACTTCTTTGCTTCTGCTTGCTACTACTCGTTGAGTTTGGCATAGACTCGACAA